ATAAGGTCCATTTCACACTTTAAGGTTTATTCTAATAAGGAAACTAAAGATTAATTAAGGGTACATTTTATGACAGGTTGTGTGTTTACAAAAAGACTTTCAACAAGAAGCCAGGAGACCAAGTAGCCTCAGCTGTGCCACTAGGAAGCCAAGATCATCCAACAAGTAATATTGACCCCTTGAACCTGAGTTTATCAGTTTCATGAAGAGGTGAATCACTTTCCTAAGTGAAATAAGTCAGAAAAATCTACACTCGAAACCTATATAGCATTATTGATCAATGTCATCCCAATATATTTAATTTTAAAAAAATATATGCAAATCAATGAAATTTAATTGATGAAAAATCAATGAAAATTAGTGAAAGGTGAATTAGATGACTTCTTGAGTTCTCTTGTAGCTCCCAAATTTTAGATCATCCCTCATGGCAAATACCCTGTTCTTGAAACTGTTTTGATTTGGTTGTGTACTCTGCCAAACAGTGTAACGAATACTAATATATACAGTCCAAAATTGACAGGTTTGTTTATTAACTCCCTGTAGGTCATAAGTAGGAGGCTGCCTTCTTTCTACCAAAAACCAAAGAGAAAGATTCTGCACTTTGAGGATGAATGCAATGTCTGGAAGGCATATTGCCCAAAGAATTCTTCCATCTTTTGTCTCAAATGCTTATTGTGATCAAAGTACCCGGTTAAGTGTCTGGCACTGCACAGCTTCCCCAGGAGTGTGTGTATATACATACATTAATATACATATATACACACACGCATGCACATATACAAATGTATATATACACACACATATATATACATTTATTTATATTAATACATAAATGAATATATATAAGTAAGGTGCTGTAGAAGGGGATCATGGTCTGTAAACTCAATCTGTGCCAGGTCAAAGAAAACCAATATCTTCAAAGCTTCCAGTAGATCCTAAGAATGATATTTTATTTAGAAAAATAATGAATGAACAATTTTATTAAAATAATAAAAGTTATGCCTCTTGGAATGATCTAGAGGAGAAGATGGAGTGTAAACTGCTAAGTTGCTTTGTGATAAAATGAAGGGAATGTGAGTTTTCTTGGGTTGTATGTTGGTAGAAAGATAGTGAGGACTCTTGGCCCAATGAAAGAAAGGAGGGTGGTAGAAAAATATGCTAGGATACAGCAACATAAAAAATTGTAAGGACTAAGGGAAAAAAAAGCAGCTAGCAGGACTTTCCTGTGGAGGACTGAGAAACTGTCAGAACAATGATGCTTAATACCCAATGATAAGTTTTTCTTCAGAGCTGCAGTCTTCCTATATTAAACATAAGCTTTTAGCAAAAGTTTGTTCCCTGAAGTAGTGGTGATACGATTGCTTTAAGTATTGAAAGGAGGTGGGAAGGTAATGGCCAAAGGTAAGAAGTTGGATGAAGAAACAGGTGAGCGTCTGCAAGAAGCAATATGGTAAGTAGGACTGAGAAGCCAGGAACAGTAGGAATTTGGAGTGAGATGAACCAGGAGAGCATGCTTTCTGGACTCCTCAAAAATATTGGGAAGTAGTTGGATTTCTCACCATACTTTAGATGGTGGCTCGAGTCATTTTATTTGAACTTTACTGAAAAAGGTGATGCCTGATTAGCTAGTAAACTTAGGGACATTTGGATTAAAGAAATGAGTATGTGTACACACGAAACGTGCAAAATTATTTGGCATCAGGTGCTACATTGGGTAACATTGTGTACTTGTATACCAAGCCCATGGTTGCATATCAAAGTCCTACACAGAGCTTTAAAAAAATTACTTTGCCCTATTCACTCCTAGACAGTCACTTCAGTTGGTCAGGGTGAAGCTCAGTCATTGATATTTTTAAAAAGATCCTTGGTTGATTCCTAATATGCAGGTAGGGCTAAGAACAATAGACCAAATAGCTATTTAAGATAAGTAGCGTCCAAATAATTTTTGCTCACTTGTACTTTGATTTTAATTATAGAGATAAAAGGCAACCTGGGGGGCAGCAAAAATAATTCTTATGTTTATAAAACATTGAATGTTTGAAAACATTGCACACTATATACATTTCATAGTTATTAAGAAGTATCTGTCAGATGCAGGGTGATGTGGATACGTCATCAAACCTAGAGTCTAGTTTTGATTCAAACCAGCACATTGTATTGGAAGTCGAATTTCTCATCTGCCAAATAAGACTAATAATAGTATTGCCTAATCTACCTCATATCTTAGGAATGAAACAATATAGTAATATATGCACGAGTTATTGATAAAGGCAGAAAGTTTTATATAAGTGTAAGATATAAATTTTTCCTTTGTAGCTCCATTTAGCCACACTCATGAAGGACTGTATATGTATACATGTATATATGTATACATGTATATATGCACATAATATGCACAGAAACATATACCATGGACCTTGACTAATTTCAGGAATTAGGTGCACTGACCCTTCAAGGTAAAAAATCCACATATAACTTTTGACACCTTTATAGTTGGCCCTTTGTATCAATGGATACAACCAACCTGGGATGGAAAACAGTAGTTTTAATCCACAGTTGAGAATCTGCAGTTGGGAATGTGAAAATACTGTGTACGATTCCACGTTGTTTGAATCTGAGGATGCAAAACCTGGGGACGGGAAGGGTGGATGGTGTTTATTGAAAAAATACTACCGCCGTATAAGTGGACCTGGGCAGTTCAAACCCCTCTTGTCCAACGTTCAGCCGAATAAATATATGTACACACATATACAAAAACATGTATATCCAATATCCATTGGGCCTTTGGAAGCAAAGGTGTGCGAGGCCCACTAGGTCCTGCCGAGAAACCGCTCCACCACAGTTGAGAAGTCCCAGGGTGGCAGCACCCACAGCCTCACCCTTGTGTTGACAAAGTTTCCTGATGTGTTTTGAAGATAATGGGCTGGGCTTCCGGCCTCCTTTGTTTCGGCCCTTGGATGCCTTCTGTGCCTTCACCTCTCAGTTAGGAGATAGACCACAGAGGGTAGCATGGGCAGTGTGTGCCTGGAGAGCCAGTGCCACTTTCCCAGCTCTCAGATGGAAGCATTTCCTGTGGATATCAAAGAGTTCCTAGAGGGGCCCCTGACAGCAATGCACCCTCAGAATGGGTGGCTCTTCTTAACAGTTCTCTTGGATTCTTTTCAGTCCCCATCTGCCTTGTTCTCCGTGTTAAGACACTCAGGATTGAAAAGTGTTTTGGATGCTTCACTCCTAATTTTTGGGCGGGGAGTCTCTTCCCAGGCCTTGAGCTCTCCCCAGTGGGGGAGGACGCGGGCTCTCACAAAGGAGGCGGCGCAGCTCTGCTGTTAGCCAAAGAGGAAGCCCCAGTAGGAACAGTCAGGGAGGAAAAGTTGTTGGCGAGTGTACCGTGAAGTCATATTAGGGGGTTTTAGCAAAAATGCAGAAAGTTTGTGGTGGTTCCCCTCTTTGACAACAGCCTGGAGAACACTTTCCACACTGGCCATCCTCGGGGAGAATTGAGAAATCTGGAATTTAAAGAAACCCAATTTCTTTACATAACTCTTCTTTTCTGCCCTAGCTCACAGTTTCCCAAGGTACCCAAGCTCCCAGGTTGAATCTGGATACGGGAATGGTACTCTGGGTCTTTTTCAGCTCAGGGTAGCATTTGTCTTAAACACTTAAGGGACTCAGAGAGTTATAACCATGTCAAGGTGCTGAGACCACATTTCTGTCTTTGCTCTCTATCCCTAATAATAGCGATGTCACCAGCACTGGCTGTAGACATGATCTGCCTTTGGTCCCACAGGAAGCCTGTGGCCTGGAGGTGTAGGCATGGCGTAGTATCATTCTATTCCTCACGCTCCTCTTCCATAGATTTCTGGCCTGCCAGGAGTCAGGGTGCTACATGTAGGTCTGAGTCCTGCTGCTGGTTTACCGGAGGCAAGTTACTATATCTCGTTTTTCTCCTTTTACCTGTTAGGTGGAAATACTCGTTTATTGTAAAGCTGTACAAAGATTTAAAGTATTATTGCTAAGTTCTCGTCCTTATATGGTGGCTAGTTTGATTTCTGTTGAGTATGTGTGTAAGGGTTGGGGGTGGGTGGAGGGAAGATTACCTCAACATTGGGTTTAGGGTCAGATGGAAAGATTCTTTAAATTTACAGGTGCGTTTGGTGAGGGGCACAGAGCAAAGGAAAGAGAATAGTAGGTACATTTCAGAACATGGTCAGCTGCACAGATGAGAAGAAAAAAGAAGAAAAGGTGGCTGGGCCTTCTATTAAAAGCTAAGAGAGATGACTCTTCTGATAGAAAGAGTCGGTAAAGAAGTCTCTCCCCCCACAGTGCCTCATATTTTTAACCATTAGAGATTTATTCATTTGGATGAATTGCTACCCTTTTTGTTACCATTCTCACTTAAAATATAGATGTTTCTGGAATTTCTTTAAGCCATTTATTCATCTTTCTATTCATTTCCCTATGAGACTGGGGCAGCCTGGATAAAACTGATGGCACAAGATTATCTGGGGAGGAAAAGTTAAAATTGGGATAAGGAAGAAGAGTGGGTCTTTCGAGACTCTTCATTTCACCATTTTGCTTAGCCTTCAGTTTCACTTGTAGTTTGCTGAGAGGACTGGGAGTGGGTGTGCCGGGGGTTCTGCCTGAGACTGGAATTAAATCAGGGGTGATAACTGAACCAGAGAGCAGGGAGAGCAAATCCCTGGTGTCCAGAAACTGAATGACACTTCTGTTCCTTCACTGTACGCCATTGAAAGCGTGCTGGCTGAGCTCAGTGGAAACGCTGCATTCCTGGGCAGAGCACCTCCCGCCTTCCGCAGAGACGCTGCTTTTCTCTCCTCAGTCTGTGTTGCCTGAGGACAAGCTCTGATCTCAGGGGAAAATGTGTGCGAATGGTAATTACTGAATAACCCATCACAATTTACAAATGGTTTTGCAATCCATTACGACATTTGGTTCTCACACACTCCTCTCAGGGAAGCTAGAAGAAATTCCGACTCTTGCGTTATGAGGAAATGAGAACTTAGAGTTGCTTAGAAAATCAAGAAGTTGCCTCCAAGCCACATTGCTGGTTCTCTGCATTAAATCAGGCAGTTGAGAATGATAATGGTAGGTGCTTCTTTTGTTAGAATGTCAGTTTGTTTTTGTTTCTTTTGCTCTTTTCTGAGAATATGGTAACTATGAGGGCAAATCTGAGTCTGTGAAATGCTGACTTGCTGAGAAAGGAGCCACATGCCAAGGATGCCTCTTCAGTTACTCTCGTGCGGCAGTTTTCTAGTGCCATCTAGTGTTTCTTTGAAGTAATGGTGGGGAAAAGCTCTTGGTTAGCAAATTGTCTTTAATGTGATCAGGGTGGTGTTTTTCTCAAACTGGCGGCTGTGGGTCATTATATTTATTACCAGAGGTTTGTGAAAATTGTGTTCTTTAAAACTTGCCTTCTCCCAAAGACGCTTTAGGAGGAAAGAGCTGATGAATCCTAGCATGCTGTGTTATAAACTACACTATGAACAGTTGCATAGTAACAGGGTTATGGGGGCGCTGACTGGTGTGGCCCAGTGGGTGGCGTGTTGTCATGCAAATGGAAAGGTAGCCAGTTGATTTTGATGCTTCTCTCCCTAACTCCGTCTCTCTAAAAACAAATAACTAAGGCCTACCCCCCCCCCCCCAGGGCTACAGAGAAAGAACAGACACAGTCCCTTGAAGATGGCGACCAAATCGGTCCTTTTTATAGCACTAGCCTAGCACACACCTGCACAGGTAAACACGTGTTCAATCCAGCACTGAGGGTGCAATTTCAGGCACAGTGGCATCTGGATGAGGATGCTATATATGGCCAGTAGTCTTCCCAGATAGTCAGTGAGTTATGAAATGCTCCGTTTATTTCCACAGAGACCGGCTGCCTAAACATGGGAGACATACACCTTTAAGAGAAAAATACCAACCGGGTCATTTTCTAGAAGTCAAGCTAGATTATGGTTACAAAGGATAGCTAGGACATAGGAAAAGATAAGAGCATTTGAGGCATACAACAAAGAGAATGTTAAAAATCCATTTATAGGCCCCAATCTTAATATCCAGAACTAGAATAAGGATGAGGAAGCCTAGCTGAGAAATGGGGCAGGCGTGGAGCCTGATTTTAAAATAGTTTTCTACTGGTGTAGCGTGTCCTGAGGCAGAATTATTACCCCCGAGGATGAGCTACAGAGGAGATAGTTGGAAACAAATAGCTTGCTGTTTGAACGTTTTAATTCTTACTCTTGGTAACCCTGTGTGTAAGGCATCACCAAACATCTGTAGCCCTCGATTTTCCCTGGCTTCTTATCAAAGCTGTGTCTGTTAACGCTCAACCTAACATCCGCATGGCAAGTCTCATGTTTTGAGACTTTCTGTTAGGACATGGGAGTCAATCTAATGAGGCAATATCTACAGGCCTAAAATAAGAGTGATGATACTTCATTTCTATTTCATTTTTACATTTGCTTTTCACTACAGCTGTGTGCATGAAAATGTGTGTGAGTCAAAATATGCTTTCACAAGTAACTAGTTAAATGAAACTATGGTTGATTCTTTTGAAAAGCAAAAAATCATTTTGCAAAGTAAATAACCACACAGTTCAACTTGGTAATCTATGAGTTGACCAAATTGAAGGGCCTCTGTTGTTAAATACATGTTACAGGCTTAAAGGAGCATAGAAATGTATTTGGTCCTTGAGCAAGAAATGGATTGGCTTGTAGACCTTTACTAAGACAAAAATGCATGTCCTTTATTTACAAAATTATAAATCATAAATAGGTTTTCAGATAAACCTTCCAAAATCTCTTCAACCCATGATGTAATTAAATAATAAAATTTGTGATTTAAATGAGTAAAAAGAATACTGCTAAAATATTCAAAATTATAAAGATGATTAAAAATTCAACAGAAATACATTTTTAGTTATCTTTAAGATGTTTGAGTAGATGCACTGTTAGACAAAAATGAAGAAGAAAAAGACATTTGTCAAGCTTGCAGGACTCCAAGAATTTGAGATGTTGGTGGCACTAATTCTTGTATCTAAGTTGATCAATACATATAGCTTTCTTCTGATTGAATAGACCCATACTAGTTTTTACTTAGCAGATTTGGCCAGTTCTCTTCTAAGAATTGAAACAGAGGAAGGAAGAAGAGGAATGATTTTCTGGATTTAGCGGGGAAGATCTACAAGATAAAGATGAAGGAATAGAGTACTAACAAATATTGTTAGGAGAGCTATCTTGGAGTTAGCAACTATCCTGTAAGTAAAGAAATTGAGAAAATCAACTCACAAGAGTTTGCACAATGTTCTCAGTTCCCAAAGGAAAGGGGATCTGTGGCTGCTGGCTTTCACGTTGGCACACAACTGTGTATGTTAAAAGGAGAATAGTATTTTGTACGTTTAATGATTTTTGAAAAGCATTTTCAAAGTTATTATTGTTTTTCATGTAGTAACATGTTTGGGAAAGGAATTTCAATTCAAGAATTTTCTTTAAAATCAAAGTCTTACCTCTCTCTCCCTGTTCCTATACAATTGCCGGCTTGATTCCTAAAGCAGCAAAGAGCCAAGCCCGGGCTTCTCAGGGTGACGGCACATACAATCCCATGGCAACCAAGCTTTTCACAACAAGCATCCAGCTGGCTTTCTGTCTCAATATGTGTCAAACAGGCAGGCAGCTGTGAGTCATCAAATACGCATTGGGGTCATGTGGGAGATAATCTGTATAAAGATGAAAAATGGGTTTGACTTTATTGATTTCTTTACTTCAGTGTGGGATAAAGAAGTTCTGTCAAGCAATGCAGTGGTTTCTTATATCGGGTCAAGGACCATCAGCATCCGAGTGTTGCTGTTGGGTCCTGGAATGGGTTTGCCTCAGGTCAGCCTGTAGTTTGTGGGTTCTTGACTTCATGCAGGAAATATTTCAAAACACAAGTCCAAGTGACGGCGAGGGAGCATTTATTAAGGTCGGGGACAGTGAAACAAAGGAAGGACTTAGGGTAGAATAAGCAACAGGGGAAAGCCTAGCCAGGGGTGTCACTCATTTTCACCAGGGGCCACATCAGCCTTGCAGTTGCCTTCAAAGGGCTGAATGTCATTTTAGGACTGTATAAGTGTAACTTCTCCTTAACCAGTGTTTTCCACCTGTGACCTCGGTGCTGCTCTGCTTCTGCTCCCTAGAAACGTAATAGGACCAAAGTGAGCCAACGCAGAGGTTTGCTGTTAGGCAGGGAAGTCAGAAGAAAAGGGGGCCTTGGAGACAGCATGGGCGGGGGTTGGGGGGAAGCTGGACAAGCTGCAGCTCCCTGCTGCTCTCCTGGTTGCAAGACTCCTGGGGACCCTTAGAGTTTAGGAGAAGGAAAGTGAAAAGTTCATGCCCGAGAACGGGCGTGGGTGTGCTCTAGAGCGAGCCTGCACTGGCATCCTTTGTCTTGAGGATTTTTATCTTTCTTCTGCATGTGGGAAACCTAAGGGAGGTTAGGGGGTGTCTTAACAGAATATTCATTAGTTTTCTAAGTGCGTCCTTCAGTATATTGATTCATCAAAATGAGCATCTAGGGGAGTTTGGGATCATTTGATAGCTTCACTGCTTTTCTTTTATTTGGGGTTTGTTTGGCTGCAGTCAGGTTTTTGTTATTTGTTTGTCTGACTTCATCTGTCCTTAGGTTTGGCTGGCATGAATGGCATTAATCTGGGTCTCTGTTTTCTATGTCTGTGACCAGGGTGATTTAAGCTGTTTATTCTCCAGTTAGGGAGGAGAGGTAAAAACCATTTGTTCTCAAGTGTCCTTGGGTAGGGATGACAAAGTCTTGCAATTCACTAGCTGTCTATAAGTTGTTCAAATTGTTTGGCCTTGTTTAATTATCTTGTCTCAGTTTCCCCATTCCACATGCCCAGGAATTTCCCTAGCTTCACAAGTAATGCCCTGAAGACTTGTTAGAAATTCAGTTCTCGTGCCCTACCCCAGACCATCTGAATTGGAAACACTGGATGTAGGAATCAGCAGTAATCTGTGTTTTCATTAATCCTTCAGGTGATTGTGATCTATGTTCAAGTTTAAGAACTATAAAGTAACGTGTGGGTGAGTTTGGGGAACTTAAAGAAGTAGGCTAGGGAGAGAAATCTGTTCAGGCTAACTCCTTTTAAAATACTGACATTATCATATGGGTGAAGAAAGTTTGAAAGGGAAACTCAGGACACTCTTCCTCAAGGTCAGGAAATAAATCGAACACAGCCTGAGGGAGAGTGGAAAAGGATGGGGAGAGAACTACTGATTTTTCTCTTGGGTTTTTGCTCTCAGATGTGCTGACCTAGCTAAGTGTTGCCAGTGAAAAATCCCAACTCAAATCCAACTCCAAAAAGGAATTTCTTAATTCATGTTCTTGCAAAACCCAGAATACTGGTTTCAGGCATGGCAGGATCCAGGAACTCAATCACAGACATAGGCATTGTTTCTTTCAGGTTGGTTTCATTTCTTAGGCCAGTTCTCTCCAAAGAGAATTCTCTCCAAGAGAATTCCTAGGATCTTTACATGATCCTTATAGACAAGATTATCAGGGGAAAAAGAGCAAGCTTTCATAAAAGTTTAGAAGCCCAAGAGAGAGTTTATTTCATAGTTTAGGTTGGATGCTGATTCCAGGACCTGTGACCAGGGATGCACTGCTCTGATTGGCCAGGCCCAAGTCATGTCCCAATTTGGAGCTTGAGGGGCAGGGCCAGTCCCATTACAAACCACATGCATTGCAAAGCAGTGAAGCAGAAGAAGTGCTGAGTGGGCAAGTATGCGTAGGCTCTTTTAGTGAGTTATCTAAACTTGATTATTAAAATGAAAGTAGTAATAGGTATAGGGAGTGTTCAGAGAGTAAGAGAAAACATACCCTATTATTTGTTTGCTGCTCTCCAAGGTGCTTTTGTAAGCATTTTACATTCACCCACTCATCTAATCTTAAGAATAACCCTAGAAAATACATGCCATTATTACCTTAATTTTACAGACAAGGGAATGCTGACATAGGCAAATTAGACTTGCCCACAGCCATATGACTGTTAAATGGTGGAGACAAGTTTTACTCAGGCTTTCCAACTCAAGATGTTCTTA